TTGATGAAGAAGATCCCATCCTTCTGCCAAGCCCTCTACCGAACCAACAACCGGAGCGTTCCGACTGAGCTAACTCTTCCAAGTGGGCTCCCAAGATCACTTTTCTTTTATTAAAAAATATAATTTCCTTGGTGACCAAGGAATATTCTAACTAATTGCTTTTTATGTATTATTATTTGGTCTCCAAGTATACTTGGTGTCCAAGACTAGTACTATCCTGGTTAATTAGTTTTTTATATTACTTGGTCTCCAAGTATACTTGGTGACCAAAACTTTATCTAGCATAAATAATCGTATAAGCCTAGAGGCAAAGGCATTCTCTATCAAAATAATTATCAAGTTACACTATGTTCCTTGTGGATTCAAGGGTTTCTTTCTTATGGATTCAAGAGTCTTCGTCTATTAGAATGATATCTAGTTTCATGCATATTCCGTTGTGTCAAGTGGTATTAGAGCAAGGATTTGCTTGGCTCAATGGTATAAACAAACCCTACTGACAGCAATCATGGGATCGGTGCTTTGTAGGAAGCATTTGAGAGACAACAATGGTAGTTGGATGAGATTTGTGACATGATTGCAGGGTTGACTCTCAACGCTAACAACAAACCGCCAACGGTTGATCGGGCGCATGCTGAGGGAGTTGCCCAAGGCCAACCAAATAACTGAGACAGATTTTGCGCCGAAGGAATTGCCTGAGACCATTTTGTCCAAAACAACTTCAGACGTCCAGCCCAGTATCAATCAGACAGTGAAGGATCTGAGCCAAAGGTTAAAAAAGAGTATGGAGGTCATCAACCAAGGAGACGACAATAGATTGATGACCACTGATTGAAGATTTATATTCTCCAATTTAATGGAAATCTAAATATTGAAGATTTCCTGGATTGGATCTCCGAAGCTGAGCGATTCTTCGAGATGATGGTGGTTTCAGAGTCAAAGATGGTCAAACTAGTCGCATACAAATTGAAAGGAGGCACTGCAGTTTGGTGGGACCAATTACAAAGAACTAGTTAGCGACAAGAAAAGCACCCAATTCGGGTTTAGCGATGAATGAAGTAGCTTCTCATGGACAGATTTCTACTACCGGACTATAAGCAGTATTTGTTCCAGCTTTATCAAAATTGCTCGTAAGGGTCCAAATTAGTGTTTGACTACACTGGTGAGTTTTCTCGACTTTTAGATTGCAACAATCTGAATGAGACAGGATTTTAATCAACGCCATAATATTTTTCGATCATGTTGTTCAATCAACTAGAAAGTATGTGATTTGATCGTTGATAGTGGAAGCTGCAAGAACTTTGTAGTGAAGAGATTGGTGGAGCACTTGAAACTACAAACTAAGCCACATCCCAATCCTTACAACATTGGTTGGATTAAGAAAGGTCCGACAACGAAGGTCACTGAAATTTGTTGAGTTCCTATTTCTATTGGCAAGCATTATAAAGAAGATGTTTGTGATGTGATTGCTAGTCATATACTTTTGGGTAGACATTGGCAATTTGATGTGGATGTCAGATTTAAGGGTTGGGACAACACCTATTTGGTTATGTAGGGGACTCATAAAATTGCTATGGCTCCTTCACCACAATAAATAGTGTCCAAACCACCTAAAGTAAAAGGGCAATCTTTTCTAACCATCGCTAGTTCAATCTTTTCTAACCGTCGCTAGTTCTGAGATCGATTGTTCTTTTGAGAGGTAGTTTGCTTGCATGGAGTACCTCAATCTATTACTTCCAATCATGATGTAAAGTTCCTTAGCCATTTTTGGGTGACTCTGTGGAAGATGTTCGATACTTCATCAAATCGAAGCTCTACTGCACATCCACAAACAAATGGTTAGACCGAGGTGACTAACAGAACTTTGGGAAACTTGGTTCAAAGCGTATGTGGAGACAAGCCGAAGCAATGGGATCATGCCTTGCCTAAAGCCGAATTTGCTTACAACAATGCGGTTCATAGTGCTACTAGAAGTCACCATTATTTGTGGTATATGTGACACCTCCGTGGCATGTAGTTGATTTGGTTCGTCTACCAAGAAGTCTGGAAGTAAGTGTTGCAGTAGAGGCCATAGCTAAACAAGCTCAAGCAGTACAAGATGATATGAAACAAAAACTAGAAAAAACAATGCAAGTTACAAAGAAGCAACTGACAAGCGCAAGTTTACCAAGGTGTTCAAAGGAGGAGATTCAGTGATGGTGTTCTTGCACAAAGATAGGTTTCCCATGGGTGCATACGACAAGCTAAAGCCAAGGAAGTATGGTCCATATAAGATTTTGAAGAAGATCAATGACAATGCCTATGTGATTGATTTGCCTGAAAACTAGAAGATCTTCAAGACTTTCAATGTTGCTGATCTTTTTGAGTATCATGCGGAGGAGTCTTTCTAAATTCTACCCAGATTTGAACTCGAGGTCGAATTGTCTCCAAGTAGAGGGGACTGATGTAGAACAAATGGCTGCGGATTTCTTGAGGCAATTGGACAAACACAGGTCAAGGAAATCAAATTATTGACTAAGGGGGAAATGAAAATTTTGGACAATTCTTACTTGGCCACTAAAGAATATAATTTCCTTGGTGACCAAGGAATATCCTAACTAATTACTTTTTTTTATATTATTATTTGGTCTCCAAGTATACTTGGTGTCCAAGACTAGTACTATCCTAGTTAACTAGTTTTTTATATTACTTTGGTCTCCTTGTATGCTTGGTGACCAAGACTTTATCTAGTATGAATAGTCATGCAAGCTTAGAGGCAAAGGCATTCTCTATCAATATAATTTTCCTCGTGGATTCAAGGGTTTCTTTCTTGTGTATTCAAGAGTCTTCGTTTACTAGAACGATATCTAGTTTCGTGTGTATTCCCCTGTGTCAAATGAAGTGCCAAATTGCATATCAGAACCTTGTTTTTTAAAAAGGTAGTGATGGATATGTCTTGCAAGCTAGTCAATGAGCTAGCTTTTGGTGTGTGCATTAAAGTCATCTTACCACAATGGTAAAACGGTATGGCATCTAGAAGAGGGCTGGGTTTAGGGGTTAATTCTTATGGCTTTCTAATCGCCACTGCCTGGGGCCCATGAACACTCATATACACCAAAAAAAACTCATTTGCATTATATGTGTTATTTTTCAAATTGTCAACATTTAAAATCGAAACACTAGTAACACTTTCTCTATATGCCTCAACCATATTAAAAGTTGCCATCCCTTGGGAGTTCACTTCCACTAAACTACACTACATGGATTAGAAGTTTCACCAATCAGCTATCCATCTCATCCCTTTACTCATAACATGTTGTCCCGAGCAGCTCTGCACACCTATTTAATTTGGTGGATTAATATCAGCACCTTCCAACACAAACAAATTAACACCTATATTATAGTGTTTGGTAAATATGAAGGAGACACACTGTGCAAGTGGCAGAGGGCCTTGAATACAACTTGAAGCATTAACAATGTATAGGCAAAGCTCTGGATTATCTTCTATTGATTGATTGTAGTAACCTCACATCGAAAACACCATTTCATTTTGTTTGGTGTTAACCTTGGTAACTAGTCTTGTCCCACCCCATGTGTAACTATTTTATCTTTGTTTGACTAGCAGCTCAGTGGTTTGATTTATTGGTACCTGATCGTATCAACTCATTTGACAATCTACAATTTGTTTTGCTTGTTTGTTTTTTGTATCCATTTCGTGACTTTAAAGCAGACACATCTAGTTTTAGATGTGAAGATGTTGTGTTTACTTAAGGAAATGGAAGGTTATATGTTCTTTTTTTTTTTTTTTTTTCCATGAACAATCAGACAAAGCTCTAGGCAGGTTAGTAGGCATGGTGATTTGAGAGAGATCTTGTGGTTGCCAATGATTGTGAGCGCTGATGTTCCAGTGATGGTGTGTGGCCATCAGAGGTTTTACACAAAGTGGTTCTCTGGGAAGCAGTAGAGGGGACTTCTCTAACTATGAGTGCTTTGGTGTTGGTTCCAGTACTAGAGTCATTTTATTTAGACATACGTATATTGATATATAAATTCATTTTAGACACATATTTGGTATGGGAACCTATCGCTTATGTGATAATCAATTGTATTGTTTCAATCAATCAGAAGGCTTTGTTACCTGAGGTTGTATGGAAACAAGTTTCTTTGGAATCCAAGTTTTTTGGAAATTTTGAATATCGGCAGTTGGAGTCTTGTTGCTACATTATATGAAACTTAACAGAAACTGAAAAGGGGGTTTGAGGATGTTTGTGATTACACTGGATAAAGGAGAAACAACTCCTGAAGTCACTTTTTACTAGAATGTTCATCCTTCAACGGGAAACCATTATGTTAGAGCTTACTGATTGTGGAGACTTTACAAGCCAAGCAACTTTAGGTACCTTGGATTGAGGCCTTTTTTTATATTTATTTTGGGTTGGTGTAGATGAAGTTTAGGGAACTTTATAAGGTCAATAGAAGCTGTATATATTTAAAAGTCCCTGGCACTTTACATATTTCACTGAAAGTGTCTGCTTGAGAAACCATTATGTTAAAACTTACTGATTGTCAAGCCAGGCAACTCTAGGTTCCTTGGATTGAGGCCCTTTTTTATATTTATTTTGGGATGGAGTAGATGAGGTTTGGGGAACTTTATAAGGTCAATATCCTCTTTTAATTAAGAAGCAGAAGGTATATATATACGAAAGTCCCTGGCACTTTACATATTTTAATAGAGTGAATGGTTTCTCTTTTCCTGGAATTTTCATTTTTTTGGGTCAAATTTTACAGACACGAGGTAGTTTGCCAATAACCCTTCAATTTAATGTTAACAAAAAATATAAGTTTATATTTGGAAGAATTACGATTCCTGTTTGGCCTCCATTAGTTTGTGCCCACTGCCCATCATCCATGAAATATGTTGATTTGCTGCAGCATAACCTAGGGTCTTTAATTATAGTTTTTTAAACAGCATGTTTTCTTTTATATTGTAGATATTTTGTGCAATTTCCATTTGGCAGTGATGGCTGACTTTGGTTTGACTTATTTAGTATTTTATTGCTCCTGACAAAGGTCAAGCAAGATGTTCTTTGTACGTGACTTTCATTTGTTGCATATGCCTGCAGCCTGCGCTGATGGAGTCGTCAGAGTTTTCAAATTAGATGATGCTTCAAGTAAAAGCTTTAAGTATGAATCTGAATTTTTACCGCTTATTATCAATGCTGCATATCTCCTTCTGCTATTTTTTGGTCACATTCAATTCTAATATTCTGTACTTTTTATGCAGGTTTATGAGAATTAACTTGCCTGCTGGATGTCATCCAACTGCTCTTGCATTTTCTGATGATGCATCTTCCTTGGTGGTGGCTTCCCAAACTCTCTTGGGCTCTTCTTTATTCATGTATGGAGAAGAAAAGGCCCAAGAAACAAAGCAGCAAGCCAAGCTTCCTCTTCCAGAAATTAAATGGGAACGTCATAAAGTGCATGATAAAAGAGCTATTCTCACCCTAGTTGGAACTACAGCAACTTATGGCACTGCTGATGGGAGTACAATTATTGCTTCATGTTCAGAAGGTATTTGCTGACTCTACATCCATCATATATTGGTTAACTTGTTATTTTGGTAATTTAAGTTTGACTATGTATTGATTTCATTAAGTTAATGAACTTCTCATTATATGTGAATAAAGAGAAGGCTATGTTGATGGTCTACCACATAACTGAAATTGTATGGAAGGACCTTTATGTGCAACTAAGTTTGCTAATTGCAGAGGGAATTTACCTTGAAACGGTGAATGACATTATAGACACTGTTTACTAACTTTACTGCGAGCTTTGTTCTGAATTTTGACTTGTGTTATAATCTTGGCTTTGTAAAGGTTACCAATATTTTGTACCTTTAGTTTTTCTTAGCAGTTCTGATGCAATCTAAGAAGGATTGACATGGATGCAGATACGGGACATGGCGATTTCAAAAAAATGGGAATACGGACACGGCGGGGACACGGCAATAAAATATGCTTGCATATATTTTTATTTGCTATCTAGATTAATATTACATCTACAAACAATCAAATATTAATAAAAACTCACTCTAATTATTTATTTATTTTTTTAAATAAAAAAAATAAAAGCTCTTTTAAATTAACACTTACAGTTGATATATATTTTTATAGATGATCTATTAAGTATTTAAATCTAAGAAAAAAATAATAAACATTCAACATTCATCAAAAGTACTAAATAAAACGGAGGAAAATACAGCTTAGCATGTCCCTAGTATGTACCCGAAGTGTTCCCTGAAAATAAATTAATTAAATAAGGGGACACGCCATGTGGTGTGTCCCATACGTGTCCCCGAAATGTCTACGTGTATCCGACATGGATACGACACTTGTTTTGAAGTGTTGGTGCTTCATAGGATGCAATTGTTTTGGGAATGAGACTGGTGCATTCAACTATGATCCATAGATGTAGGAATGGATTTTATCTGTCTTAACAGTTGTTTTAGTCCATCTACTTTGCATCAGTTCCGTGTTTTTTTTTTTTTTTCTTCTTTCATAATTTGACTGTATCTAGGGTTGTATGATCTGCTAACTTGTAGGCCATTGTCTCTTCTTACTACCTGAACTCTTATTCCCTTTTGCCTGTTTCTTTCCTCTTTGGCCTTTCAACTTGATTTAGATTGGTCTTCCTTGCGCTGGTGTATTATTTTCTTGCATATGATAAAGCCGTCTTAGAGAACTCCTTCTCTTCTCACCCCTAACTGGTTTTGCTGTTGTCTTTCTTTAAGTCTAATCATCTCTCATTCAATCTTTTCTTTTGTTGTTGCTCTCAATATTCTTGTTTTGATTCTGTCCGTATCATGGAGATTTATTGCAGATATCCCCTACATTTTACTTTCTTTGTATTATTGACAGTGTCATGATTAGCGCAGGATAATTCATTATCATCCATTTTCACTATCCCCTACATTTTACTGCAGCTTTCATCAAATTTACATCTTATGTAATCCAACTCTCTCTTGGTTAGTTTGAAGTGTTTACCATTGTTAAGTATCTTCCTGTATCTTAATAAGAGCTAATCAATAATGTTGTTTTGTCAATTAAATCAACTAGAGCTTTATCAACTACAAGTACCATCACTAGCAAAGAAACAACATATTCTATGTTTTTCACTCTCTTCCCGAACATGTCCAGCAAGATTTAGATATATCTAGCTATTACCCTTCTATGGGACTTCTTCCTAAATATGCCGAAACCATTTCATGTTTATGAAGTTGACTCCCCTTCCTTGGACATCCAATTGCTGCTAGGCTAGTTACTGGGTCAAACATGTCCTTCATCTAATATTGGACCTAAAGAAAGATTGCAGAAGCACTATTGGTTCATTCCTTTTGAACGTCTCTCTCTCTCTCTCTCTCTCTCTCTCTCTCTTTTTATATAAAGTATTATTCTGAGTATTTGCAATTTTTTTAGGGACTGATATCATACTTTGCCATGGGAAAACTGGGAAGATCTTGGGCAATGTTGACACAAATCAGCTCAAAAACAACATGGCCACAATATCTCCTAATGGGCGATTTCTTGCTGCTGCAGCTTTTACTGCCGATGTGAAGGTAATTGTTGCTAATATTTGATGAATGTAGTATAGAATTCCTTCACCTGAGAGGTTTTTGAGAAAGTTATGTTTGCTACATACTTCCATAATTTTGGGTGATGAGTGTTATTTAAATCGTGAAGACAAACCTGTTTTGCCTTGATTCGGATTAAATCAGTGTTGATTCATTGATATTTAAATCGTGAAGACAAACCTGTTTTTGCCTTGGTTCAACAATTTTATCAGTGTTGATTCAGATTAAATTTCCAATAAGTACGAATCTTTTAATTTCAATGCAACCACACATAAATCACACTAAAGTAAAGAGACACAATTTGCATGGAAAAAAAACCCTTAAGAACAAAGGAAAACCACGGGCACACCTAGTTGGTCAAAATCCACTATCAATCAAGAGTTAATACAAACTTAACATAGGATTTTGAACCCCAATCCGGTTTTCTCTTGATTTGGTGGCCAATTTGCAGAGTCCTTCAATCACCGCTTCTTGTGACAGTTACTAAAATGACTAATGATAGATATGCATATGTCTATAGTGTAGATATGTGTGGAATTTTTTTTATTAAAAACTCTTATTTATGAACTCAATTGTGTGTTTTGTAAATCATGACGCACAAATTCAGTGATATAAAGCATTCATAAAAGATTTAGTTCCCCAAAAAGTACCAACTCTCTCAAAAGCTCTAAACGTCTGAAGAAGATTGTATTGACAAAACCAAATTGCTTTTTGTAGGTTTCCTAGGGATCAAATATGGATAAAACTAGAAAACCTATAACACAAAAAGGCCAAACACTATGGGATAGTTCAACAATTTAAGCAGTGTCAGTTAAGATTAATTTGCCAATAAGTATGAATCTTCTAATTTCAATGCAACCACACTTAAAAACACAGTAAAGAGACAGGATTTAGGTGGAAAACACTAAAGAACAAAGGAAAACTATGGGCACACCTAGTGTAAAAATTTATGTATTATTGATTGATGTTTATTGATTTCTATTACAATGATTCATGATTCCTATATATAGAAGAGGGTGAGTGTGTAGTAGGTAAGGAGTAGGTGAAGTGGAGGTGGTAGTGGTGTAGTGGGTTAGGTTTAGTGGAGTAGGTGAGATGGTAGTGGTGTAGTGGGTTAGGTTTAGTGGAGTAGGTGAGATGGTAGTGGTGTAGTGGGTTAGGTTTAGTGGAGTAGGTGAGATGGTAGTGGTGTAGTGGGTTAGGTTTAGTGGAGTAGGTGAGATGGTAGTGGTGTAGTGGGTTAGGTTTAGTGGAGTAGGTGAGATGGTAGTGGTGTAGTGGGTGTGTGTTTTGTAAATCATGACGCACAAATTCAATGATATAAAGCATTCATAAAAGATTTAGTTCCCCAAAAAGTACCAACTCTCTCAAAAGCTCTAAACGTCTGAAGAAGATCGTATTGACAAAACCAAATTGCTTTTTATAGGTTTCATAGGGATCAAATACGGATAAAACTAGAAAACCTATAACACAAAAAGGCCAAACACTATGGGATAGTTCAACAATTTAAGCGGTGTCAGTTAAGATTAATTTGCCAATAAGTATGAATCTTCTAATTTCAATGCAACCACACTTAAAAACACAGTAAAGAGACAGGATTTACGTGGAAAACACTAAAGAACAAAGGAAAACTATGGGCACACCTAGTTAGTCAAAATACACTATCAATCAAGAGTTAAAACAAACTCAACATAGGAGTTTCAACCCCAACCTGTTTTTGTCTTGATCTGATGGCCAATCCATAGAAATCCTTCCTTTGATACTCAAATGACCAGTAGTAGTAGTAATAGTAGTAGGTATGCATTTGTATGCAGTGTAGAGGTGTAGGGTTTTTTTTATTAAAAACTCTCAGTCTTGAACTCTACTAAGCATTTTGTAAATCACTTTTTCCACACTACTGCTTTCTTAATTCCATTTTTTTGGGGCTTGTGATTGGAATGCGTTCTACAGACATTTCACTTAGCTAATCCAAATGCAAACCTCTTTATCATTTTGGTTTCTCTATATCATTTGACAAAAAAATTTGTGGAAGGCCTTTTTCCGTTCTTGTCAACTAGGAGATTGCTGCTACTTGTAAAAATCTTCCTCTAAAATTTACATGAACATCAGAGTAGGAAGTGACTTAAATATCTAGGTTGTGTCTATTCAAGAAGGGTTTCCCACACAAGGATTGAGGCTTTAAGATCCCCGGGTTATAACTTGAAAAAATTGATCATTGCAGTGAGGCTCTTAATCAATTACCAATTAATTTATAATATATATTTTGGTTTCTTATTAGGGAAAAGAAAATGGAAAATAAGTGTTGTAGAACATTTAGTTTAATTTGTCAGATTTGTCAATTAACATATTGCCAGTTTATTTACTTTGGCAGGTTTGGGAGATTGTATACTCAAAAGATGGTTCAGTAAAGGAGGTTTCAAAAGCTATGCAGCTCAAGGGCCATAAGGTTATTTATTTTTCCTTTCTGGGTCATATTTTTCTGGCTGAATCACAATGTTATAATGTGCATCCCTCTATGAAGCTTATTTTGTTATCTAAATGGACATGAAATTTGAATTGAATCTATCACTGGGCTTCACATCACCCTGGCCATAAAAGAAGCTCCAAGCAGATGGTCCATATACCACATTTGCAGCCAAAGCTACTACGTTCTCTGCACCTCTCCCCCACCCCTCTACGCACTGGAATGAGCTCACTTTTGGCCAAGTTAATCTAAAGCCCAAACATCAGCTCAAGATGCACCTCAAAAATCCTTACTCCTCCACACTAGCTCCACAAAAGATGTGTCATAAAAGCAAATGAGAGGTAGAAATCATAGCACGCTTTCTCATTCTCACCCCAAAAGCCACGGAGAAAACCATCACTAGTTGGCAGTCTCGTTGCCAGTCATCTGACTCAAAGCTTCCATAACAAACAAAAAGAACAAGAAAGGAGACAATGGATCCCCTTGCCTTAGCCTTTACAGCTCTGAAAAAAACCCTCTGTCACCCCATTTACAAGGATCGAGAACTTCACCGTAGAGAGGCAAAAACAAATCCACCTCCTTGGTTTCTCGCCAAAGCCCAACCTCTACGAAACATGAAGTGGCAATATTCGTCAATGGGCTGAAGTGGCTCTTATTAAGAGCGCACTAGCTAGTTCACCAAGATAGTACCACCTTGTTGATTGCAAGATGGTGCATTTGTCAAAGGAAGGAGGTGGCGTGGGCTTGGAGACGTGATCTTGTTTAATTAAGCTCTAGTTGGAAAATAGTTATTGATGTTTACTTCGGAAAATGAAAGTTGGTGGAAGAGGGTTGTGGTTGAAACATGGAAAGTGATTGGGGGAGTGGTCCAAACGACACATTTGAGGACAAGGTTTTGTTCAGTTGAATCTTCCTTAGAAGAATGTTATGAAGCAACTTATTAAATATGTAAACATGTCCATAGATCTAGTATCTTAATGCAATTTAAAATGATTTTTTTTTTATATATAATATATTCTACCTTAAAAACTACTACCAAGAAATAATAATAAATGAAAAATTCTGCAATACTGCAACAAATTAAAGACTTTGCCTTTCTTTTATTTTATTTTTCTTATTATAATCAATGACTTTTTTATTTTTAATTTTATAATTTTCAATTGTTGCTCATGTCTTTCCTCTCTTTACCTCCCTCCCTCTTTCTCTCTTCCCCCTCTGTATCTCTTTCTTTTCTACTTATGGGTCTGGTTTGGTGGATGTTCAGAGTGCGGTGACATGGTTATGCTTTGCTCCAAATTCAGAACAAATCATAACAGCATCCAAGGATGGTTCAATAAGAATATGGAATATCAATGGTATGTACAATTCCATGCCTTTTGCTGTCTTCTATTGCTAAAATTTTGTGTTACCTAATTATCTAATCTAAAATCAGCAATAACTTGATATATTCGTAGTTCACTGTTTGGTTTTGATTGAGACAGTTAAATCAAATGGAGATGATATAGATATGCTTGGACATATAAAACAAGAACTTGGATGCAAAGAAAAGCCCTAAATATTAAGGAATGAGGAACTCAGTTTATTAGAATTTAATATAATCATCCACTAGGAAACACTTTTCTTGGTGTTAAAAAGAAATGGTCATGTAGAGCCAAGATGGGCCCAATATCATGATTAACTGTTGAATGCTGATTCAGAATGTGTTTGATACTGTACGATAATTAATTTGCTGATAAATTTTTTACTTTCCTGGATTAGGAACAATTTATATCTGCCTTTAAGTGAAATTTATACTTATGTGATATAATATTTATTTATCCTTATATATATGACATAATAAATATATAAAATTATATATTGTGCATGTGTCCCAGACGTGTCGTGTCCTACATTTTTTTGAAAATTTACATATCCATGTTGTGTCATGTGTTTGTGTCCATGCTTCTTAGTGGTGATCCTTTTCATCTGTTCTTTTGAAGTTCGATATCATCTTGATGAGGATCCAAAGACTTTGAAGGTGTTTCCTATTCCACTTCATGATTCAAGTGGAACTACCTTGCATTATGATCATCTCAGTATTTCTCCTGATGGAAGGATGTTGGCAGCTACTCATGGCTCAACATTGCAGTGGTTAAGTGCTGAAACTGGGCAGGTTTTGGACACAGCGGACAGGGTTCATGATGGTATGCCTGATTTTCAATTTTTCCTGCACTACTTTGTTTCTTTATCCTTTTCCCTACAGTTAGTATTTTTTTGGGTGAATACCTACAGTTAGTATTTTATTCTGCTTTATGATGGAAAATCAATCATGACATAGTCAGGCTTTCACTTCCATTCCACATTGTTTTTATTTTATTCCCAAGTTATTTTCCTGGAAAACAATGGGGAATTTCTAAAGCCCGAAACTTCTTTTTTTTGTTGAATGGTTTTTTGTCTAAAATAGAAATTAGAACATTGTTGACCTTTTCTTTTTTCTTTTTTTTCAATATGTAGAATGTGGAAATGATATCTTAGTACTATGATATAATAAAATATAAATGTATTTGAAGAAATTATTATTTTCATGTATAGTATACATATGAAATATATATTTATTTGCTACTATGCCCCTTCCTGTCGTGTCTTGATTTTTCTAAAAGTTGTTATTGGTATCAAATCAGGTCTCTGTACTATGTCTGGATCCATGCTTCTTAGATCGCCAGCAAGAATATGTTTCAAAAATTAAGAGGCTACTGTTTGCCATTTCTTTGGATGTTTGTGCAACTTAATGTTGTTCTCTCTTCAAAGTTTGAGCTTGTTATTGGCTGTGAAAGTTGCTGCTGTAATGTCGGAATCTTGGCAAATATCTTTTCACTTATCCACACGAGAGTACACACACTAGCTATTAGAATTATAGAACATTTATTTCTGATACACAATGATTATTTCCCTGCCTTGGGACCCTGCAATCTTATATTTTACCTATGACTTTCTACTGATGTTGCAGACTGCATTTTGATGCTGTTTTTTGTTACTTGATGTGCGTGTATGCTATGCATTAGATTGCCTTCCCCTATAATTGAATTTTCTTTAGAAATTATGTATTAACTTTGATCTACATGCAGGTGACATCACTGGCATTGCATGGTCCCCTAGGGCAATATCAATGGGTAATTTCTTCTTCCCTTTTAGAAGTTGCTGTCTTATCTGCACATATATCCTTCAATTTTTTTTTTCTAAGCACCTGTTGTGAAATCCCCTGAAATGGGCCAGGTCAGATCCTCAAACAGCATGTTGTCTCCATTCTTTGGATTGTTTTTAACCTGTTTTTTAGGAGAGTTGTTAACCACCATTCTGCCATCTGCAATGCACTGAACAGTTTAAAGTTATAGCCTCGTGAAATCATTTCCATCCTTCCACTATTCAGAAGATAAAATGAGTTTTTATCGGCTGCTGTCAGACATTATGTTTTTTTTTCCCTTATGAAAATAAATTCATAGACAATATGCTATTTGAAGTCTAAAGAGTATTCTCCATAGGGTGCAGTGAAAGCAGGGATTCCAAGTTATTATTGACCCAAGATTTCGTGAAATTCTGGATTGATGGGTCCCATACACTGACCCAACCTGAGAATTTACTCTCATTGGATGGCACAAGTATATCTCTAATACTAGCGAGATTATGCTATTGTGACTTTCTATACGTACTTGGTAGCACAAGTTATTTTCCTTACAAACCTCTAGAATGGAAAAGGCTGTGTTTTTTTGTTTTGTTTTGTTTTGTTTTTATTTTTTACGTCTTCCTTTGAATCAGGGGCAGTGGTTTTTATCCTTTATACTATGAAGGTTTGGTTTTATTTATTTATTTTTTTGTGAATAATTTGGAGAGAGATATGGTGGTGATAGACCTTGATTGAAGCCGCTTTCTCTCTCTTCTATAAAATCTGGCTGTCTTTTTTCTCACTAGCATGTCATCCATGAACTAGGCATTTTCTTTGAGCCTCCATGGCTGATAGTTGGCATTTTTCTAAATTTACATAATAGCATCCAATACATTAAAAAATTATGCAACTTAGAAAGTCAATAGGTTATACAGTAGTCCTTTGATGGGACCTTTTTCATTGCCTTCCTTTCCACATGGTTTGTTCACTTTCTTGTTGCTAATATGGATTTGCTACTGATTCCTTATTTGTCCATTCATCACTCTTTATTCAGTTCTTCACAGTGAGTCGTCATCTGATTTAAATCATATAACAATTTTTCTTCTTTCTTTTTTGCTATGCATACTTACATTATGTTTTTACATTTTTTCCCAACAGGAGATAAACAGGCATTGGTTTTAGCCACCTCGAGCGTCGACAAGAAAGTGAAGTTGTGGGCACCTCCTAATTTAGCATAAAGGATTCAGCCCCTGCATTACCATGAACCATTGGCAGGAAGCCCTTGTTCCGATGTCACTTGTTCAGCCTTTGGATATGCCTAACTTCTCAGCCACCTTATCACAAGCTCAAATCCTTAACTACTAATTTTGAAGAGATTGATACCCTCTGCTGAAAGAAGGCTAGACTTACGGCAAGTTCGGAAAATGAGCAGACACGACACTAGTTTTTTATGTTTTTGTTCTTTGGTTCCTTTCATTTGCATAGTCTGATCTTACTGATCTTGGAAGACTCGGCAAGTTTTTTACAGAATTAAACAATATGGATGGTTTTGATACTTCTAGCGCACCCAAACTATAAACGGAGGTTGTGATACCACTCTGGTTTCAAATTTAAATGTTATAATGTAATTCTTAACCAATTCGATTTTTGTTTTGTGACCCTATCTGAGTGATTTAAAGTCCGGTTGAAGTGAATACTGATGATACTGATACCATCTGATGGTTGTGGCTTGGCAGTGGGGAGCTTATTCTCATGTTGTGTGGTTTGGTGAACAAGAGAACACAGGTTAGTTTTTGGAGCAACGTTGCTATGCATAGATCGACTGTCTTGTTATTTCTTGCTTGGGTTAAAATGAAAATATTGATACTGAATATCAAGAATTTTAGATAAATAAGAAACAGAGAAATTAATTATAAACTAATAGGAAAATATTTTTTTATTTTTAGAAAGTGATAAATTTTTTTTGGATTAAAGTTTTGCTAGTGTCATTACACTACCAACGCCGCCATCATGGTCTCCACCCTCTTGCCGCCACCATCACCACTAACACAATCACAATTTTTTTTTGGTCAAAACAAACCGAGCATAAGAGTAATGTTGTAATAACTGTCTATTTCTATCCTCTTATGATTCGGTATGATGTAATCTAAATGTTTTTCGTGCTGTGTTGTGATACAGTTCTTATTTGCATATTCATTTATTTGTAATTAATTTTTCTTTTATTTTTTACTTTTCTAAAATAATTCCAGGTGTGGGTAGCATCACGAAAACTCGTACAGAGCTGACGATTTATCACACTTTCGTGAGGAAATTAACACTTCAATTGGCATTTTTAATGTATGATTCATAGTAATTTTCATGGTAAATTATAAATACATCTCTTTTAATTTGCTCAAAATATAAATTGTTAATTTTGAAAATTACAAATATTTGAGTGTCATAATTTCTTATTTAACTGAATTAACAAAAAAAAAAGAAAAAGAAATTCCTAATTACTTTCTTATGCACAATAAAATTATCAAAATTGTTGATGGAAATATATTTTTGATATCATTAAAAATTGTTAATTGACTTAATGATTTTATCAATAAAATGGGTTGTTTATTATGCAATTAGAAATTTGAAAAGGCGAGATATAATTTTTGAAATTATAGGGGACAATTTGTATTTTAACAAAGAATGCAGCTTCTCTCCCATCTGTTTTCGAACTGGATGATGCTGTTGGGACTTGGTGGGCCCAACTTTGAGTCCATCTCAATGATCCAAACAGTTAATGTGTAGAGTTCGTTGAGTACATTATTTTTACAAAAAATTACGTTGAACGGACATTGATGACCATTTGATCATATTACATTTGTATCTGTGATTTATTTTTAAAATCATAATTGCATTGAAACAAGTGCAAACTAATCAAATGGCTATTAATGTTTGATCAATTTGATTTTTTGCAGGGATGATATACTTGACAAGCTCTACATATTGAATGGTTTGAATTATTAAAATAGCCTAAAATTGGGCCCATCAAGGCCCAACAGCACTATCCAATTTGATTTTAGATTAGAAAGAAGTTGTAGTATTTAAACAAATACCTGGAGATATATTTATAATTGATCATGATTTTTAATATTTATGAAGCAATGACTATGACTTGCAATATGTTGTGAAAAGGTGACCCTATTGAAATGATCATTCACATCCACACAAGAAAAAGGACTCACGGCCAATGCATCTATGCTGGGCCATATTTGATTGTTGGATAAAGTTGGTTGAGATTATAATTAGAGTGAAATTGAGTGATAAAATTAGGGGAAATTACTATTCAAGTGAAATTTTAAAAAATTATTATGTATTGGTGAAAAAATTTATTATTTTAATTATTAATATTTATAATATTTGTCATGTTTTTGTAAATAATTTTCTGATTAACCATCGACTGGTGATTCTCCCATAAAATTATCAGTTGGGTAGGAATTGGAGATAAGGTTAGAGACAAAAATGAATGGTGTAGGTTTGCTAAGGCTGTTCGGTTAGATATGAATGGCTCTGCTCGAGTAAAACAGCTCCATCGACTCCAAGGCATCTTAGTTGATGTCGGCACGTATAAATTGAGTTTTTGAGGCAATATTAGGATTGACAAAGTTATTGGAACAAGGGGTAGCTCGTCTCCAGTCTACTTTGTGGATTGAACGGTATTATTAAGTTCATGAGATTCATTACGGGTTCTATTTCGATAATTCAAACAGTTGTGTAGAACTCGTTGAATACTTTATTCTTGTAAAAAATTATGTTAATCAGATATCGATTACTATTTGATCAGATCAGATTTTAGTCAACAATTTATTTTAAAAATTATATTTATCATTGATAAAAATCTAATCCGATCAAGTAATTATCGATATCCGATCAACGTGATTTTTTACAATAATAAAATACTTAACGAGTTATACACATTGAAATGTTAGGATTATCAAAATGGACCCGTGGTAAGCTCCCACAGGCCTAATAGTATGCTCTAGTCCAATCACAAATTGGATAGAAGCCTGGCCCTTGGAACAATTATACATTTGGTCCACGCATGACACTATCATTTCTTCTAATACATGACAAATTAGTGTTATGATTACATGATTTTGTTTCTCGTAGTACTGCAATTTTGAATTATCTTTAAAAATATTTATTATTTAAAAAAAATAGTATGCCAAACCTTCAAACAATTGATGGTCAATTGAAATTTTTTGTTAACTTGTGTTTGAGAAGGATAATAATTTGTACTTTGTTTTCCATAACAAAAGTTTATGCAAGTCAGTTTCTCCGTGGTCTAATGATATGATCCGCAGAGTCGGGCCTAGTTCCTTGATCTGGTTATCCTACAAAACAAACCTATGAGGATTCATTGGTAAGTGTCTTCTTAAGTTCTCATGACTAAATTAGTCTCTCGGCAGTCTTGATTTCCTAGTTTGCATGGCCGACTGGCTCAAGATCTTGGGCTTGGGTTGGGCCCATGGTCAGATAGAACCGTAGGCATCAAAAGTATTAAGTGCCATAAAATAAAGAGAAAATTGGTCTAAAATCTCTACCCAATTTTTAGTATGAGGAGAGATTGACAATAATATTTTTTGATATCTAAGGTCCCTTAATGTTATTTTAGTTTATAAAATACCTATTTTACCATTCTTTATAATATACGTGATTTTTAATTTTGGAAACTAAAGATTACGTTGCTATTTTTGTAGGAGATTTTGTTGGGATGAGCTTGATGATGTAGATTTTCGTAGAAATTTTATAGGGATTTTGTAGTCGTGTAGAAGTTGATTTTCGTTGATCGTGTAGAATTTGATTTTGTAGTCGTGTAGAAGTTGATTTTCGTTGGTCGTGAGAATTTGATTTTCGTTGATCGTGTAAAAGTTGATCTTGTAGTCGTGTAGAAGTTGATTTTTATTGATCGTGTAGGAGTTGAAGTCGTGTTGATTTGATTTCCAATGGAGTTGAATCAGTTAAGTTTTTTTGATTTTTCATTTGATTTGTATGTAAGGATTTCGATTTCAGAGAAGTTGTTCTAGTGTAATTTGAATTAGGTTTTTGATCAATGTGAGAGAAAAAGCTAGCTCAGTATAGTTATTTTTTATTTTTGAAGTTGATTTTTCATTTTTTGTTATTGACGATGGAGTTTTCTGTACTTTCCCAAGTTTTGTGCTCTGGTTTTTTTTAAACTTTTCATTTATTCTGCACTTATTTTTCTGCACTTTTCTTTGTATTCCAGAGAAAATTGTATGTTTGTTATTATAATCCAATGAAACTCACAGAGAAAATTATAAACTTATAGTCCAGTGAAAATCACATAGAAGATTATAATTTCATAATAGATCTTCTCTGTGATTTTTGTTAGTGATTGTGTTTAATAGTTAGCATTAATTTTCTCTGTGATTTTCTTTGGACTCATGAATTTTCTCTATGATTTTCTTTGAACTCATGAATTTTCTCTGTGATGTTTCTCTGTGATGTTCTATGGAATCATTAATTTTCTTTGTGATTTTGTTTTTGTTATCTTGAAGGTGAATATAAGTTTCTAAATTTCTTTAGATTTTGATTTGAGTCCAATACTGCACAATCACATAGAGAAAATTGTAAGCTTGTAAATCACAGAGAAGATTATAATTTCATAACAGATATTCTGTGTGATTTTTGTCTATGATTGTGTTTAATAGTTAACATTAAATTTCTCTGTGATTTTGTTTTTGTTATCATGAAGGTGAATTATAAGTTTGTAAATTTTGCTAAACTTTTACTTGAGTCCAGAGAAAATTACAAGCTTGTTATAAGTTTGTAAATTTCTCTGTGATTTTCTTTGGACTCATTAAATTTCTCTGGACTTTTATGTTGTTCTTTTTAAGTATTTTTATATTGAACAAGTTATTTTTTGTGTTTTTTCTTTCATTTCAGATGGACAATGCAGTGTTGTTGCTGTGCAAATATGGGAATGTATGGACTCGCTTTTTTTCGCGTCCCGTATTTCGGAAAGGGTTGAAAAGAAGGCCTCACAGTTCGGACTCCCGTGGTTCTGAATCTAGTCGCACAAGTGCAATGTGAAACTGATAAACATCAAAGAGTCCAAATCCGACAAACCTTTTTAGAAAATCGATTTTAAATTAAATAATGCCAAAATTGGACTACTTTGCCAGATACAGAGTCGCAACCTAAATATTTTATTTTTGGAAAATTTAGGAAACCCTGGCTCGTGCTAAAGGCCACGTGTCCGTCATTACCAAAGTTGTCTTGGTTCGGGAACTTAGGTACAAGAAGGGAAGGGCCTGAAAGGAGCACCTCCGCTCGCCCGATCAAAGATCGACCTCTACTAATCATGATATGCATTTTTATAAACATTATGTGCTCTTGTTCCGATTATTAAAATAGTTTTACTATGTGATGCGCACAAGCAAGTATAGACTAGTTTGCAAGACTTGAAACAATTCAACTCATGTTTGTTTTCGAAAATGGTTTGAATTTGCCACCTCAAGTGGGCTTAAAGATGCGGATTTGCCACCAAACATAGTGGGCTTAAAACATGATTTGCTACTCAACAAAGTGGCTTAAAACTTACATTCGTTGAATCGTTCCAATTCAAACAACAAGCCTTCATCCATAGGTATTCATTCAGTTTAGC